TCTGAAGAGTTAAAAGATAGACTAAGTACAAGCCATTCCTTCCTGTGGTCTAACAGTGCCCATGACAAAAAGCCTTTAACTTTTATCCATCAGTTTTCCCCTGATAACAGTTTAAGGAGATTAAACCGTTTAGCAATCCAGAAAGGTAAGCACCGTACAGCATTCATTAAGCAGGACAATATATACGTAATTGAATAAAGGACCACTTTGAGGAGATACAGGGAAGTATGTGTTGGGATAGTAACTGCTCAAGTTTTTATTTTTTACAGCACTTCAACAAACAATAAAAGCCTTGAATAAATAGTTTTATAAGTTAATTTAAATAAAACACAGTATCTAAACAGTTACCCACAGTCTGTAACAGTCCAAAGTAATATAGACACAATACTTTACAAAGACCATTTTCACTATCAATGTTTTAATGTCACTATTCAACCTGTTCTACTTCCGACAATGTTATTTACATTGTGTTTTCAACAGCTAGTAATCAATGTATATATTCAATCCACACATAAATACAATTTTTCATTGAAATATTTTTTCTCAGCACAGTTGAAAGAGAGACTTAATTATATCCATGTTTCCTAAAGCAAAGGCATATAGACACTGTGGGTGGTTCTTGAAACCCTCCCCTCCCTCTTCTTGTGGTGGTCCCTAAGTATCTGGCAGCAGGAACAGCTCACATATATGGCTACAAATGCTGAGTCTGAAAATCATATATTCTCTGTGTTCCCACGGCAGAAAGCTCAGTTACGGATGTCATCATAGGCAAGCAATCACCACAATTACCATGAAGCTTCCAGTTGAATGAAAAGTCATTGGAAAAGAGAAAACCATAGAGGAAAAAGGAAAAAAAAAAGTTCAACAGATGGAGAAAAACAGAAAGAAAGAGAAGCCTATATTGATTGTGTTGCACTGACAAAAAGATGCAGCTAATGTCACTGATGCATTAATTCACTAAAGAAGGGGGTTAAAAAACAGTCTTGGAAAAACATCTAAGTTTCTTTTCGAAAACAAGACTAAAAAAGGTTGAAAGCAACTTGCTTCACCAATATCTATTATGTCTTTAAGCATATCTTTGATGAGATAGTTTTTTTTTTCCTTTGTTCAGAAAAATTAAGTAGATGTAAACTTTGATAACACTGAATAAAGTCTGAAAATCCAGATGTGAAAAAACACTCTGCCATCATTTTATAATATACCTTTGATAATGAGTTGTATTTTGTTACAACATTATTTTAATGCCTTGACCAGAATAAATATAAATTGTAGATTAAAACAAAACACATAAGTTTACAAGAACAAAAATTAGAAGATACCCAAAAAGGTCCAAAGAGGACAATTTTTAATATGAAATTCAAACAGTCTTGACCACAAGCTATTTTTCCTTCAGAAACTGTTTCATCAAGATATTCCTGTGGAAAGAGACTGTATTATCATCATTTTATAGATTGCATACTGAAGTCAAAGGGACATTATGGTCAGAAGTATTCCTTTTTTGGAGGGTGAGAGAAAAGAAGAGTAGTAAGAGGCCTAGAACTTGACTTCACAGAGTGCCTGGTGTTTGCACTCTCAAAGCCCCAGAGCTCTTGCTGATTCCAAGTACAAGCAAGCAATCTTGTTCAGCAGAACACTCACGTTGATCACTGGATTTTTCTGGTGTTCCTCTCTATAAAATGGGTGATTTTGTAACACTCACCTTGCCTAGTATCACATATGAACCGATTGCCCAGGGGAGATAGAACTGAATTCTATTCCCAACGGCACTATTCAGCTGCCTAAATTATAATACTTCCTGAAGTACATGCATTCCCTATCCATCATTTCAACAATCAGGACAATGATTTTCCACTATACAGCTCTGACACTAAATCACGCCCAGCCTGTGCAGGAAGACAAAAGTCTCACAAAAAACCAAAGGCAGATGAGAGACGGAGAGTGACTGTAAGATGTATCATGATCAGTGTGCATGTGTATAGAAATTAAGATTGTACAGGCAGCCTACAACTCTGACATCTCTTAAATTTCAAGTATTCAACTTCAAATTGAAATACAAAGTTGTATTAGAGCATGAACACTTACTATGGTGCACATTACATTTGAATATGAATGAGTGGATTAAGCCAAGCAAGAGAATAATCGAAAGTTACTTATTGGCTAAGTTGAATCATCAGTGAACAGAGTATGATGAACTGAGGCAGTCAGCCTAAACCAGTGCTTCCCTTCACACCTCTTAAGTGCGCTGACCTTACCTGTGCATGTTCCTGAGCAGTAAGAATCACTGCTGTCATGAGCATCCATCTTTTCAGGTCCTTTTGCATAAGTCTGATCCTTTCTCTATCATCCGTCCATTTTGTCCTAGTTCTGCCTCTTCCCGATCTATCTCCTAGGTCTTTTTTTCTCTCCATGTTGCCATGCTTAGTTTTCTACTTTGTATTCCTGTTTGGAGTGTAGTCTACTTGTACAGCAAACCCTGAACAGGTTTTCCCCGGTCCCTTATCTGACTACTTCCAGCTCCACCTGACCACCTATCCATCTGCATCTTCTCACTCTGCCAGGGCAAACTGCCCTTCTTTTCAACTTTTGATTCAATTTGTTTCTCCAAACAGGTCTCCAGACCCTCTGAATCACTTCGCCAGCAGGACTTCAACTCCCATTCTTTCACGGATGCCTTGCACAATTTCAGTGTATGATCCACATGCAATATGCTTCTTTTTCTCCTTCATCCTTTTATCATCTCCTATCCTACTCACTCTGTCCAGGTGTTCACAGTTATGTCAGGTTTTGGCTTTTGCTCCAATCTCTTTCAGCCTGCCACACTGTTTATAGTCGCTCTCCCCATCACATTGAATGACTCCCAGATCTGCCATTTTCTTCCAAATCACTTGGTCAGTCAGTCTGCCTCCCCCTCCACTGGCTCTATGTATCCATCTACCCCCATATCTCCTCAAGAGTTCACATTATTTTCTACATTTAGCTGAGACAGTTTTCCTTCTGTTGCCTACCAGAGGAGGGGGAGAACACTTCAGAATAAAAGAGGAACAACTGAACAACACAACCGTACAAAGCTGCACTACAGGGGAAATTCTGCTGAATCCTAGATAGCTCACACCCATGTGAGGGATCAAATTTATTAAATTCTAAGTTTGCAAGTTGCCCAGCAGAATCTTAAGGATCAAAAGTAGGTCAAATTTAAGTGGATTTATACAGGAACAGACAAGTATATTCCAGTACATGAAACCCTTCTGCCAAATTTCAAATCGCTCCTAAGTGTAAGGATAATACTTATTTTAGTTTCTTTTCGTCCACATAATCACCATTTTTTGCCCTCATTCAGTAAACAGTATAGTGGGTTTTTTAACCTTTAACAAAAAGGAAGCAAGCAATTAGCATAGCACGTTTCTATTCTGCTATTAAAGGTTGGCTCATTTGTCGACATCCGAAAAGACGGCCTACTAACGGAAAGCATCGAGTCACTGGTACTCAGACAAAATTGCATTACATTCACACCTTTAATAAAGGCAGTCACTAGCACATTCCCCATCTGCAGCTTTAGAAAATCCACAGGAAAATTATCATCCGTTATATCCTGGAATAACTTTTGCATAAATGCTTTTTGAGTTTCCTTCATTTAATTTGTGCTCTTAACTGCCTTCCAAGTCAAAATGCATCATCCTTCATACTCTTTTTTTATAATTCAATTTGTACCTTTTCACTAGTGCCTGTAGGATCATCACATTTAAGTACTTAAAGACGGTTAAACTTGCTTGTGCTAACATTCAAGTATCTATTTGCATCTTGCTTTATCTTTTGGACAGTTAGTTGAAAGCATTACTTAAAATTACGTTCTAAAATTTACAGTTATATTAGGAAAAACGGACACATGGCTAGCAACATTCCATATTTTTCTTACCTTTTGTTATTTTTGGAAATTGTTACTATGTGTTAACAAGTATTAAACAGGGGTAAAAAAATACCTTCAGATTTCAGCTGATTTCTGAGATTGCCATACTCAAAGAAATCTGTGACAACTGCTTGATTTTGAATTACACAACTTCCGTGTACAACATCACCTTATAGATGTTTATACTGATTTCAAATTTAGTGCTTTATTGTCTAAAGGTGCTGATACTACACCAGTAAATTCTGTGCCAAGATCTTCTCTAGAATATCAGACATTTCTCAAAACAAATTGCAATTTATTGACTGAAAAAGTTACCCATTTAAAGCTACTGGTAAGACAACAGAAAAGAATAAGATGAAAAACATTTCACATTAAATAATTTTGATCTTAATTTGCAGAGTACATAACTCATAGATTTATCTCACCTAAAAAGTATATCAGAGTTCCAATAGTTATAATCTTTGAAGTTAAAATAACATCCAGAAATGCTTACATTTCAACAAATGCTGTTGTATGAAATTACATAATGCTACATGAACTAATTGGTATTTTGTCACACAATACCACTTAGTAACTATACATAAACTATTACATAGTTTTAACAATCTCTTTCTTTTTTGGTACATTTTTAAAGGTTGGGCTTCAACAGGGAAAAAAGTATTCTAAAAAGACCTTCAATTTCTTATCAGTTTTGAAGTTTTACATATGAAAAGTTTATGCAATATAAAATTAAGTTTTATTTTGTTACCTTTCTGTTGATGTTGCTTTAAGAATTATCTTTTAAAAATGCAGAAAAGAACATGTAAATGTTTTTATTAAGAACAGCGTGGTGGCAAAGGAGTAAACAAATTTTAAAATAAAAATTCCAGAGTTTAATTTTTCAGGAGTGCCTAAGGACTCATTCTTACCCTCTCCAAACACTGCAGGTGATGGGTCACAGGCACACTAACGGGCCAGGAAGGAGTGAAATCTGAAACTCTGGTACTGCGACATAGTTCTACCTCCAAAATCCCCATATTAAAAAAAATCCAAAACCCAAATAATACATCAACAGAAAAAAAATTATCTTATCGGACAAAAGTTATTTCTACAGTACCTTCAGGGGCGATAGCACTAGGACACACATCTCTTAGCAGATCTCCCAAAGTATGCAACTGTCCTCCTGAAGCAATTGGTCGAAATAGCTTCTGTATAAAAGGTCTCTCTGTTGTTGCCTGTTTTAATAACAAAATTAGCAAAAAAAAAGACAATTTAAGGACCATGCAAACATGTAGTATTACTAGTTGAGACAGGCAGAAGATAGGACAGAACAAGAGGTTGCAGCAGAAGAAACATCTGGCATTTCCTTTTCCCTCCTCTTCCTTACATTCCCTTCACATCATGAAATGCAGGGAGTTTTTGTTTGTTAACAACTGAAAGTAAGTTGATACTCCAGAAAACTGTGAAGATAATTTATAAGCAGTGTCATGGATATAAAAGTGTTAAATTCTTTTTTTTTTTTTTAAATTTAAAAAACCCACTAAACTTCTGTTATGGGAATAAGATCTGCTTGAGCAAAGTATTTCAATATATTCTTAATTTAAGTAAAACAAGCAGTGAGCACAACCTTAGGAGCCTATATGTTTTCCAAAGTCAAAGCAATACTGTAACAAATATCCAATCAATACCTTCTGCAATAATCTATCTTCCTCCTTTCAGAAGCTTGTTAAGCACTTGCAATGGCAAACAAGTACCCTTATAGATCAACCCACGTGAATTTTTTTCCAGTACATTTTATGTTGAAAAATTCAAACTATTTCAGCTGCAAGAAAGAGAGCACAATTGAAAGAAAAAAAAAAGTGTTGTGCTTTGACAGACAACCTAGAGTCTTCCACCTACTTAAGGAATTAATCAGATGTAAAGAACATATATGCTCCACTTCCGCTGCAGATAGGCACAGGAATTCAGAACGATTTCAACTATGGGTCCCGTTAGATCTTGCACATCATCATAATTTCTTTTGGAGACAAAAACATCAAATTGACTGGCAGTAACTACTGCCAATCACTGTCGACAACATCGGCAACAGAACTCCCAACACTGCAGAAGCAGTAAAGTAGCTTATGGGATGTACAGGTGCACATATTTAAGGAGTGTGGTTATGTTAAGGTAATCCCCTCCTTTGACTATCTGTATAAGCAACCCCAGGGTCAGCAAGCGTCAAGCGTCTGATATTGAACGGACAGGAAAAGCTTTTTTTCCTGACAACCTGACCTCTCCTCCCAAACTGGGCACCTGAGCCAGAAAACAGAAGTTAAAAAAAAGAAAAACCTCAGTTCAACCAACCCAAAAATTTTAATCAAGCTCTAAACTGTTGCTGACAAATTTCTGCTAGCAGGTAACTCCAGAAAGCAGCTGAAGGGGTCTACATTACGGGTGACTGGGCTCCAGTAAATTACACTTTCATCACATACTATCTTAATTGGAAAAAGCAATATAAGCCACTGCCCCTTCCAAATTTAGTTTCCTACCACTCCGAAAGTGGTTCCTGCCCTACTATCATAATTAAAAACCAGAAACAAACCAACACAACATCAAGAAGTATTTTATGTCCTGGTGGAGATTTATTTTTTGGAGGGAGAAAAAAAACCAAACACATAACCAAAACAAGTATAGCAAAAAATTTGAAAGTTAAAAATTAATTTTGAAAGGAAGTTACAATGTGGTCTCTGTCACCTACCTACATGCAAAGCCACAAGCAGGAGATTAACCATGACAACTTCAGTGTTATCCACCTCTGAAACAGCAGGGCAAGGAGTCTTTTCGCACAAGTGGTACACTACCTCCAAGCAATTCCAGGGCAGTACAGTGCAGAACTGTTGACACATAGCTACATGTTACTTCTTGCCAACAGTCTCCAAAAATGGAAAAATAGCCTTTTTCCAGTTTTTCTTATGAAGACTAACCAGAAGGAACGACTAGCTACTGTAGTCAGTTCTCTATGTCCTCAGGGTAGCCAAATGTGGATACAGACGGCACTAATGAAATATCCGAACATTTGAAAACTGATGGGAGGCAGACAGTCAGCAGGATCCACACTTGAGAAGAAAACTCTAAGTATACCTCCAAAACATTAAAAAAAGAAGGGAAGAAAGAAAAAAAAAGAAGGGAAGAAAGAAAAAAAAAAAAAGAAGGGAGACAAATACCCTAAAATATTGTTATAGCCAAAGCAATTTTCCATTAAGTTTTTTTAAAAAATAATCATTTATTGCCAGAAGTCTAATCACAGCTCCTCAGTGCTTGCCAGCTGAAGTAACAAGTGGAAATAAACACCAGAAGAAGGATGCAGGCAAAGGTGGCTATCATCAAGGGACTTTTAAGGTAAGAATTTCCCAACTGCATACCGCAGTTTCTCATTATTTATTAGTAAATTACAATCATTTTTTTCCCTAGTTATCATAATTTAATGTCAAGAGGGAAAAGCCAAAGATGCATTTTCTAAAATCTCCCACATAGTTGCTGACTGCTGCAAAGCAATATCCTCAGCTGCTACCATGAAACATTATAAAATATAAAATTGAATTGATTTTCTAAGTGTTTAGCAATATAGACGTGGTAATGTAAATAAAAATCACTGGTCTCCATCAATGCTAAAATGATAAAAGTAACGGCATGTCGTTTATACAAAGGTTGTGGCTCATAAATACAATCCTACAGGCAGAGTATTACCCCAACACGCTTAACACTTCTTCCCTCCCATGCTGCAGATGCTTTATGCATTAAAGGAATCAAAAGAGAAGTCTCATCCTACAATCTACAATATTTACAGGATAACTTTTCAAAGTATCTTAGTCATATAGGAGCACAAATCATTTTAGAAAAATCTTACCATCACCCCTTTTGAAGTGTAGTAGCTAGGAATATAAGCCCAACTTGACTACAGCTTCACACTCTAGTATTTATTACAACACCCCATGAAGTAATAGCCAACATGAGTAATCGCTTACCTAACATTGTGTTTTGTACAGTATTTGCTTAATCAATTGTGCAAAATGGTACTATCTGTAATCTAACCCACAAAGACATCACTGCATAACTGTTAACTGACAATTATTTTAAATAATCCACATCAGGCCTAAAGCATGTATTTGTACAGTATCCATAGTTTTTTTCCTACTAAGATTATCATGGCTTCAACAGAATATAGCGATTTTTACATTATTTTATTTTACAGTCTAGCCCCAATGCACCTGTGAGCTGCTCAAAAGATGCTGGATGCATTTGCAGGATACAACAACCGAGAGTAAACCAGTAGTTGCTGAAGACGGATCTACAAAGTATGCCTTTAAGTATATAAGCATAAGAAGACAATCACCTGGCCCAAAATTTGCAGTGCCTTTTACCCTGATCATGCCCACAACTTAGTATCAAATCTTTATGAAAGTAAATATTTTCTAGAAAGTTGGACTTATTTATTGCTCCTGAAATTTCTCATTCTTCTGTACTACTACTTAGCACCACAAATCTTGTGCTTTGCGGAATAAATGAAGACTTTACTCTTTTCAAAGAAAATTTAAACAATAACACTGATAGGAAAGTGACAGTGAAAACAAATTCACACTACAGTGAGAAAAAAATCGATTAAAATAACTATTCAGGTATACTGGCTTTAAGAAGAGTTATAGGTGAGGGAAAGTTATAAGAGGCCCTTTAAGACAGCATAAAGCCTCACAGGATCAGAGACAAGCGATATAGTTACATATTGTGCGAGCAATTATAACTCTTTTCCTTTGCTATAATCCTGCCCCCCCAAAAAAGAGTAGTCAGCTTGCCTGGTCCTTTTCAGAATTACCAGAACATCAAACGCTGCATGAAATCCACAATTTAATTAGTCAGATATTTTATACAGGATGCATCTTAAAATGAAAAACACAACTTATGAACTGCTGGGTTTTAATCTGGAAAAATCACAGAGTTACCAGTATTTCCATCTAGAGGAAGGGATTTGGATTTTCTGCCTAAACACTCTGCTGCTACTCTAACAGTATTCAAACAAATAAAAGTTACCATACATATTGAACCCACAAAGTAAAAAAAGAATTCCTTACAATTCCCACATGTGCATAAGCTGGCAGCCTAAAACCGTAAAACTTGAGACTTCCCTACATTACTCCATCACATTTTCAGTAACTTGTCAAGTTCATAGTCTGCGCTGTTTTGTAATGAACCGCTTTACGCTAAAAAAAAACGCTCATAATTTAAATTTATCATTTTGTTTAAACTGATTTAAACTTAACCAAGAAGCTTTAAATGTAATAAGATTTGCATAAGGATTTAAGTTATTTATATAAAAAGAGGAAAGTACAGGAAAATTAACTACTCCCTGAAAATAAAATTAATTATATAAATGTTATTAAATATTTACTCAAAAGTACATTTTCCATATATTTTCTAAGATGTCTTCTGCTTTGTAGAAATGTTTTTAATTAAAAATCCCAATGCACAATGAAAAAGTGACTAATTGAAAAGACGAGGAATTGCTGCAGCCACAGAGCCACCACAATACACACGGTCTGTCTGAAAGGACAGCAAAGCCCCATCTGAAATATTGCTCTTTCACTGGTGCTGAAACGCAGTTTTTCTGCTGGTATTTCTGGGTGTGTATCTTTGGCTTCTTTTTGCTCAATATTAGACCAGAACCAGAGAGTATTTCATTGGGGAAACGGCACAAGCAATGTTTCTAGATTTTTTGGGGTGGTGGGGGTTTTTTTGTTTGTTTTTTTTGTTGTTGTTTTGTTGTTGTTGTTGTTTTTTGTTTTAAAAAAGACTCCATTCACTGGAAACTAGCCAGGTAAGTTAGAAGACTGAAAGATTAAATGGAAGTGGCAGCTAAGACTGAAAATCACCAATACACTCAGGTTAAGAAAGAATTCGTGTCAGAATGGCAAGGAACTATTTCTGGGAGTGGACAAAAAACCCCGAAGTTCTGAGGACCAAGCCTAAGGTGGCCCTCCTGAACTTGCCCTACCTCTTGTCCCAGGTTTTACAATTTTAATAATGTTATCTACAGTTGCTCCAACTGCTGCATATTTTGACCTTCATAAACCAGTCGCAAATTAAGAGAGGTTACTTGGCTCTTAAGCTTATTTTGTATATCCCGATACCTGCAGAATAAGACCAATACAAACATTTTACTGGCTTCTGGAAAAGAAATCACCAATTAATAAAAAATACC